GGAATAAGATCTAGGTCGTACATTCATGTGTACTGTACTTATACAAAATCATAGCAAAAAAAACACCGAATGAATGGCTTGAAAAAGCCATTTCCGAAGGATATATTAATAATATTGAATTTGATAAATTTACATATTCTACAATTGTTGGCAGCGGTGGTTTCGGAAATATTTTTAAATACGAATGGAAAGATTGTGATTTAATGGTTGCCCTTGAATATCTTAAAATCGACACCAATATAAATGAAGAAGTTATTAAAGATTTTATTAAAGAAGCATTTATTACATTATTACTTTGAATTATTTCCTGGTGCAATACTAAATTTCTACATTTCTACAACTATGATATAAAAACTTAAGCTATTACCAAGGGTTGGTTACCATCCTAATATTATTAAATTCTATGGAGTTACGAAAGGTATATACAATTTAAAAATTCTAAATTTGTGTAAAATTACTATTAACTATTAAGAATATTTAATACTATTAAATAGACAATAATGGATATTATAACATATACCAACGACGGAAATTTAAGAGAATACCTGAAAGCAAATATTGCAAAATTACAGTGGGCAGACAAGCTACTTATCGCTAAGGAAATAGCATTTGGACGTTTATTTTTACATAATAATGATATTATTCATAGAAATCTTGTAAGTATATTATTTTTATAAGTTTTCAAGTTTTAACAATAATAATTGTCACGGCTGATGCTGAATCTGGCTGATGCTGAATTTGGGGGTCTTAATTTGGATCCATCACACCTACTAAAACCCACATATACTCTTTTATTCAATTCTAACCCTAAATTCTAGTCTAACTATTACAAAAAAGCTAACAAAATACACTCCAAACAATTGTAAAATTTTATATCAAAGTAGGCCAATATTAAGCATCAGCCAAATTCAACATCAGCCGTGACAATAATTAATGTTTTGGTATATTTTATAGCATCAAAAACAGCCCAAAAACGCGGATTTAGGTCTATAAAAACAGATAAACGAGACATCTACTGTATGACTTCAAACTCGATCGTTCACGGCATATATAGAACCTAAATGCCTTATCAATCAGAGATATAAACGTGATAAGAAATCTGACATTTTTAGCTTTGGTGTAATCCTTTGGGAAATTTCAAGTGGAAGACCAGGATTTTGCTGGCTGTTTACATAGCACAAGGAAATAGAGGAGTGCCTGTAGAAGGTGCACTGCCTCAATATATTGAACTTTACAAACGATGTTGGGATTGCGATCCTGCTAATCATCCAGAAACAAAGGAAGTTCTCAATATTTTAAAGCAATTTGTTGATAATGATTTCAAGCAACAGGGTTACTAGTGAACAATCAATTAAAAATAATGAACTAACTAATAGTTCAAAAAACTCTTCAAACTCTAAAAAAAATTTAATTCGGTTATTTTTTTAAATCAAATTATTTCCAAGGAAACTTCAGATAATTCTATTTATAATGAATTATCAATTAAAAATAATGAAACCTTTTCTTTAAATCGAGATATAAACCCACTTCAAATCACTACATTAGCACCACTTTATTTATCTGATTCATCATTGTCTGATATAGCAAGCTCAAGCCTTTTATCTTCGTCTAATGCTATTCTTAATATTAAAAATAATGAAACCTTTTCTTTAAATCGAGATATAAACATACTCCAGATCATGACATCAGATTCACTTTATTTACCTAATTCGTCTTTGTATGATACAGCAGGCTCAAGCCTTTCATCTTTGTCTAATGCAAATACTTCAACGCAAGATTGTAATATTGAGGATATGAGAAAAGAAGAACACGAATCTTTTAACCAAGGCAAATTTCTCAAAGCATTAGAACTTTATGAAGAAATCCTCAAGAACCGTCAGCATACTAATAATGTTAAAAAGAATGCTTCATCTTGGGATCTTGATTCTAAATGTCGTGGATCTGAAAAAATAAATGAGTTAATCAAGACACTTTGCAAGAACTCTACCTTAACAACATTGAACCTTAGTGACAATGATCTTGGATCAGAAGATGGAAAAGCATTAGCTTATGCTCTTTGCAAGAATATTATCTTAACAGAGTTGGATCATAACTATTATAATCTTGGATCAGAAGGAGGAAAAGCTTAGCTGACACTCTTTGCAAGAATGCTATCTTAACAGGGTTGGATCTTAACTATAATAAACTTGGATAAGAAGGAGGAAAAACATTAGCTGATGCACTTTGCAAAAACACTACCTTAACAGCGTTGGGTTTTGGAGGTAACAATCTTGGATCAGTCAACTTTATAACAGGTTTTTTTTAAACACTCGGTAGAGAAAGCATTAATTGATACTTTTTGCAAGAACACTACCTTAACAGAGTTGGATCTTAGCGTGAATAATCTTAGATCTGAAGGAGGAAAAGCATTAGTTGATGCTCTTTGTAAGAACGCTACCTTAACGATGTTGGGTCTTTCTTCAAATAATCTTGGATCAGAAGGAGGAAAAGCATTAGCTGATGCTCTTTGCAAGAACACTACCTTAACGACAGGGTCTTTCTTCGAATAATATTCTTTGCAAGAACACTACCTTAATGATGTTGGGTCTTCAATCGAATAATCTTGGATAAGAAGGTGGAAAAGTATTAGCTGATGTTCTTTGCAAGAACACTACCTTAACAAAGTTGCATCTTACTATAATAAATATTGGATCAGAAGAGGAAAAGCATTAGCTGATGCTCCTTGCAAGAACAATACCCTGAAATATTTGGTTATTCAGGGCAATTATATTAACTTTACTATAAAATCTAATAATTCAATATCAGAATAGACCAGGAAATATACTGAAATGTAAACGTAGCTATAAATCATGTAAAATACTGTATCGGTAATGTCAGATCTAAGTAGCTTAAGTTAAAGTTCGGTTTGTATTTATTTTATATTCATTTTTACAATTAAAAATTTAAATTTATAAAGTTTTAAATTAATTACTCAATATATATAGACAAATATAAATTTCACAAAACAACATATATATGATATTAGCATATAAACTCATATATTTGTATTAACGGTACAGTATTTTATACAAAAAAGCTAAAGTAAATTGAATATTATTCAGAGTACTATATAAAAAAAAATAAAAAGGGCATACTAAAGTATTATCCATATAAATTAATCGCATAACACGATCATTGGTTTTGACTGGCTTGTCAACGAAGTGACAAGGCCAGCATTATTGCGAGATCACGTGAAATCCAGTCATGTTACCAAATCAAAATCGGGAAGGTTATGGAAAGGGGTTGATTATTTTCATCATTTCTTAGAATCAGTTGTATAAGCTAGTTTACGGGAATAATTCCTTTAGGGTGTGTATTTAAGGGGAAAATCATATGTTAGCTGTTCCCCCTCTTTTGTTTTGCTATTGTTCGCCAAATTATTAGTTGGCCAGCTTTCTGGATGATTAATGGCTAGGGATGTTAATCGGTCCTTTGGGACCGAATCCTGACCGATCCTAACCAATCCTTTCAAGGATCTGTAAGGATTCG